GGTGATCCCTGTGAGAAGGTTCCTGAAGCTCCCCTGGCTCCAAGTCAGACCTGCCTCTGGCCAAGGCCAAGCCAATTAGTGATGGTGGCTGTGCCTCTGTAATAACATATTTGAGAAGGGGCACCTGGGAGGATGAGTTGGACCTGTGAAGAGAAGTTGTGAGGGAGACACCTATGCATACACCAAGGTCAGTGGAAGAAAGGAGGAGGTGGGGGGTAGGCGCGCTGGGGCAGAGACTCCCCTATATCCTGTGGTGAGAGCACAGGCTGTGCCCCTGCCACCTGTGGACGTCACTGGTGGAGCAGATGCTGACCTGCAGCCCATGGAGGACTCCATGCAGCTGGAGCAGGTGGCAGTGCCTGAAGAAGGCCAGGACTCAGAGGGAAGCCTCCTTTGGAGAAGTCTGTACTGGGAGGACTGTGACATGTGGAGAGACCTATGCTGGAGCAGTTTATGAAGAGCTGTAGCTCATGGGAAGGACTCATGTTGGAGAAGTGTAGGGGGAGGCGCTCGGAAGATCTCGCAATGTACGGGAAAAATAGAGGCACATGAAAAGATCTCACGATGCACGGAAAGAAAAGGGAACTGAAGATCTCGTGATGTACAGAAAGGAGTATATAAAGCAATTGCGCAGTTAATAAATTGAACAGATAGCATCCACATATTGGTGTTTGTGCTTTCTTTCCCGCGGAGGTTAACCTCCTGCAAGGGTTAGCTGTGATCTGAAGGCCGCATTCCTGTGGCTTAGCAGATGGAAAAAAACAGCTAATGCCTTACCACAACAAGTGGTGACCCCGGTGTACGGACGGTGGCTGTCGGCGGTACACGGCAGGAGGCAAAGGAGCTCCACGCAGGACGGGAGACTCCATGGCGCGCCATTGAGGCTACAATAAAGGTAAAAATATGGGGTAGAAATTATAAGACTTCTATGAAGTCGAGTGCTTTAAATGAGATGCTACAAAGATTATTAAAGCTCGGTATTCTGACTGAGCCGATGGATTGTATGAAGCCTGAGCTGTGGCCCCTAATAAAAGCTGATTTAAAAGAGCAGGAAAAAAAGGGAAATCCGCAGCACTTGATGACTTGGGATAAAGTAAATGCATTGATGAAAGCCACCCAAGCCGAACAGCATGCATCTAAGGATGCGCATAGGGCATTGCAAGGTTCCTCAGAGAAAATTACTCAGACAGAGGCCCTTGCAGATATTTCCTCTAAGGAGGAAGGTATGAAGCTAGGGGCGGCGTGGCCTATAGCAGGCAAACCCCCTGAAGAGAACAAAGGGAGCGGAAGTGGCACTAGCCCTTCCAGTTCGTCCGCACCCCCCCCCGAATACCCTCGGGGAACATCACAAAAAGCAAAAGCCGCAATACAACTGGCTGACTTAGAGGATGAGGAGTGGAGAAAACAAATCCAAGAATGTAAACAAGAAATGCAGGCATTTCAAAACCAGTGGAGAGCAAAAAGGGGCGGCTCCGGCCGGATCCCCTGCTCGGTTGGCTTCCGGGTGCAGCCCCTCCTCTGGAGGAAGTGAACCCTTGGAGTGTGGCAGAGCCCCCCGACCCCTGCGATGTAAAACAGTCAGGCAGTCAGTTCGCTCATTGCCGACATCAAAAAACTCAGGTGGAGTCAGATGACGAATCAGACGACAGCGGTACTAAATCCAATCACATGGGAAAGGCCGGGGCGTTGCTAGAAAGGGAGGGGGGAAAAAGAAAAAAAAAAGGAAATTACGAAATTGCTAGCGGAACTGACGTCAGCTGTACGTACACTGGAAGCCTTCACCCAGGAAAACAGACGTCTGATCCTGGGCGGGGCTGCTTCCTCTTGTTTACAAAAACACCCTGCTGATTGGCAGCTCGTACCGAAAGACTGTATAATCTTAGGAGTAAAGCTTCACTCTACAACCGTAGATCTACAACACCCCTCGCATGGAGACAGCTTTCGACCGCCTTACAGGACGGGGAGCATTTTCAACAACCCCTGCTCGATTACAACTCAGACCCAGGGAATTTACTGCCACTACTGAAGCTGGTAAAAATCTTTCATGGAAATAACTAAGTTAGAAAAGACAAAACTCCTGTGGACCTCTATTAAGCAACAACAAAATGAACCGTTCTTGAAATGTGTTAATAAGCTCCACGCTGCGGTCACAGAATCAGACTTACCGGATGGTGCTAAGGAAGCTGTAATAATAGAATGTATCCGACAGCAATCTAATTTAATGATCAAGGATATTATAAAGGATATTCCTTTGAATACACCTATAGCCACCCTCTTACAACAAGTGGTGCAAAAGGAGGCAATGCTACATGCCCCAGGTGACATCCATCTTGCAGAAAAACCTATATCATCTAGAAAAACCAGCCTCTCTGGTGTTGATAAAAGATCTCATCAGATGAAGCGACAAGAACCACGTTCCTTGATAACTGCACCTTGATGGGTTTGCAACAAAACAGGTCATTGGGCACGAGATTGTTGGTATAAACATTAGGTAAGTGAAAGGGGAGGAGCCAGGAATGGGGGCCGGGCTCCTCCAATGCCCTGCAAGTAGCCCTCAAAAATCAGAGACAAGTTCTCCTATACTCCCCAAGTGACAGTCGAGTATGCCCATAAATGTCCACAAGACGTGTCTCAGGGCCAGGAACTGTGGCTCTTGTTTTAGATTGTAGCGATAAGGCCATGGTCATCGTTTGGATAAGCCAGCCTCGCCCAGGAAGAGCAGAAGAAATAGTGCTGCAGGCCATGATTGATTCAGGAGCTGATATAACATTAGTGGGCGAAAAATAGTGGCCAGGACAGTGGCAAACTACATTTGGGGGATTTGTGGCAGGTGTCGGGGGAGAAAAACCAATGTACAAAGCAATCACTGACACAACATTTAAAATCCAAGACCGGAAGAAAGGGGCCTTGATTGCAATACTCAAGCCTATAGTATTACCAAATTTCCAGGGAGTTTTGTTGGGCCTTGACTGCATGCAACAAATGAAAACTGGCATTACAAATTTAGATTAGAGGCCACTGCCGAACACATAGCAGCCCTAAAACTTACACGGTTAACTTCTTCACTCGTGTGGGTTGACCACTGGCCGCTTAATTCAGTAAAACTAAGTGCACTTCAACGATTATTAGAAAGACACATACAGGTGGGTCATTTGGAACACTCTACAAGCCCTTGGAATGCTCCTGTGTTCCTTATCCAAAAGAAAGATAAGACTAAGTGGCGCTTACTCCATGACCTCAGGGCTGTAAATCAACAGATGCAGGCGATGGGTGCCCTGCAACCTGGATTGCTCTGGGGTTCCACATACCAAAAGATTGGTCCCTTGTGATTATTGGTATCAAAGATTGTTTTTTCAGCATCCCTTTACATCCCACCGACAAACAAAGATTTGCCTTTACCGTGCCTTCTGTGAACCACGCTCAACCAGTTCATGTTGGCGACGGACTGTACTACCTAAAGGTATGAAAAACTCACCTGTCATTTGTCAGCTGTATGTGGCCAAAGCCATCGCACCATTGAGAGAAGGTAAGACTGACTATCATGTGATACATTATATGGATGACATCTTATTAGCAGCACCTACAGAGCAGCAAGTGGAACACCTGTTCCAGCGTGCCAAAGCCTTGTTGCAACAACATAATTTGAGCATTACCGAGGCAAAAATCCAGCGAGGTACGCAATTACAATATCTGGGTATAACTTTAGCTGGGAACGACATAAGTCCACAACCAATAGCTCTTGCTCCACACATTGCCACTCTACATGATGTTCAGAAATTAGTAGGAGCCTTGCAGTGGCTCCGCACCTTTATCTGTATTCCTTTGGGATTTATGCAACCCTTTTATTAATTGCTGAAAGGAGAACACTTATGGGAACCAAAGAAACTCACAAAGGAGTGCCAGGACAATTTAGCATTTACACAAACTATTTTATGACAACAGAGACCTTTGCAGCGATGGGATTCAAAACATCCAATCATAGCAGGGTGTTTTATTTCTGACCATGGCACAATAGGCATCCTATTTCAAGGCACGGACGGCAAGCCTGCGCCTTTAGCCTGGGCTTACCAAAATACCAACAAGTCCACCTTTGTTACCATAGTCGCTGTTATAGCAGACCTTATCGGACGCCTATGTAATATGACCCTTCAACACTTTGGAAAGGAACCTGACACAATACTTATCCCCTGGAAGCAACAATTATGGGATGACATAGTTATGCGTTCGTAAGATTTACAGTGTGCCATCTTTGACTTTCCGGTCTCCATAGTAACTGGAAAGGGTCTACAATGGGTTTCACACTTGAAAGCACTTCAGCCACAACTTACACTACCTCTAGTCATGCACCCTCTTATTGGCACAACACACTTTACAGATGCCTCATCACAATCCCAAACAGCTGCACTCGTATAGAAAGCTGATGGACACTGGCAAAAGAAATTGTGGACTCAGATTGACAGATCAGTACAATGGTTGGAAGCCAAAGCGGTCCAGATGCCACTTCAACAGGAAACAGAGGATCCTATTAATATTGTTACAGACTCTTTATATGTTTATAAACTGGTACACAAAATGACAACACTAAGATTTGTACGGACAGAAGCGTCAACTTTACTTTATGATGCTCTACAACAATGCATAGGGCAGGTCTTTCTTACACATGTGAACAGTCACCAATCCCTACCTGGTCCAATTGTAGAAGGCAATCATAACGTTGACCAGGCGGCTCGAGGTGTATGGTCACTAGATGCTGCAAAGCATTTACATGCCTTTCTACACCTCGGAGCAAAAGCCTTAGTGAAAACACGTCATATTTCTCTGTCACAAGTAAAAAACATAGTGGCACTTAGTCCCTACTGTCAAAAGGGCCCATTGTGGGAAGCAGGTGTCAATCCAATGGGTCTTTCTTCCAATCAGATATGGCAAACTGACATCACAGAATGTGACCCATTGAAACCAAATAAATACCTCATAGTAACTATTAACACCTTTAGCTCTACAATATTAGCCACGATGGCTCGCAAACAAACAGCCAAACACATTACTGCTCATTGGGAGGGAGTCATTGCCTTATTAGGGAAGCCACAAGAAATCAAGACAGATAATGGCCCTTGTTTCATCGCTAAAAGTACCAAAGAATGGTGTGCATTATGACACATCAAGTTAGTACACGGCCTTCCTTACAACAGTCAAGGATAAGTAATAGTGGAACGTGCGCATTGCACTCTAAAAGCGAAACTACAACAGCTTGGGGAGGGGGAAGGTCATAAGGGGACAATACCCATAGACCGACAGCAGACTCTTTTGTCCCACGCCCTTTATGCTCTATATCACTTTGTTAGAGGCGACGAGTCCACACCTCCCCAGTGGAAACACTTTATGCCAATCCAGATGACAAGAAATTATCCCTTGGTTCAGATCAAGGAACCGGGAGCGATGACATGGGAATCGGGCCGGTTGCTGAGAGTGTTTGGGCGTGGGTATGCAGCAGTGGAAAAGGATGGTTTAATTAAATGGATACCTGCACGACGTATAAAACCTGAAATAACAACTTCTTAAAAGTTTTGTAGATTTTCTGTGGCCTTTGGCTACTTAGATCCTTTGTGAGACAAATCATCTCGCCCAGACCTAACATATGGGTAACTATAGCAAATGAAATGGGAAAATAACTCTTTTGTTTATCACAGGTCAACACCATTGCCCAAAATATTAATTTTGGTGGCAACACCACAAACATTTGGTAAGGTTAAATTAATGGATGATGGAAAGGTGTGGTGCAAATAGAACATTTTCTTTAATAACCTGGAGAAGAGGTTACGCTTGGTGTTCACAGGTCACAGTCCCTGGTGATTACTGACAAGGTGTGTGCAACCACACCTGAGGTATGAGAGGCAGCCAGCACTCAGGATCCAGCTGTGGGTGCTGTGGATGCATCTGTACCAAGTGTTCGCAATCTCTTCAACTGATCTTTTTAAGCAGAATGTCTGGGTAATGTTTGCTACTGCGACAGAACAAACTACACTACAGTTGCCTTAATGAAATATTTAGATTTATTATTCAATAGTGGAAGATGTAGTTTAGATGAAATGTAGTTATTAATAAGGATGAAATGCTATAAGAATGCATGTATTGAACTTTCTTTGCTTAGTAATATTAAGAATTAAGAGCTCAAGTATTTAACCTTATTTAGAAACTCCCTTGGTTTTCCCCTTGGAGTACTGGCCAGGCTCTGGGTGGAACCCAACAGGAGGATGAAATCAGATGTTTCCGCTCAATAAGTGCCAGTTATTTTGGCCTGTTGATTTGGAGGCTGGACCTGCTTGCAGCAACGTTGGATGCCTCACCTACGGATGGATGCATCGCGTAGGATTTCCAGTTTGTGAGGAAGTGCACTATAAATTCTCACTGTGTCCAGGGTTCCCTAGCAATTGCGGATCTGAACGTTAGTATTTCTATTAATTGTGTGCTACTTCATATTTTCCTCATTGTTTATTTTTGTAGTAATTAGTCACATCCCTTAATTATAAGTAGTGAACTTAGCTTATCTTTTAATTAGTAATCATAACTGCTGTATTGTTTTAGCCTTCTGTGGAACTATTTTAAGTGTGCTTTGTTTTTGAAGTTTGACTAACCCTTGATTGAGACAGCTCTCAGACGGGTCTTGCAGGCGCTGCTGCGAAACAAAGAAAGGGAAGATCTGGAAGGCATCAGTTTTATACAACTTCTGACGCATGGTCGATAAAGCATGGGGAGGGGGAAGTGTAGGGGGAGGCGCTCGGAAGATCTCGCGATGTACGGGAAAAATAGAGGCACATGAAAAGATCTCATGATGCACGGAAAGAACAGGGAACTGAACATCTCGCGATGTACAGAATGGGGTATATAAAGCAATTGCGCAGTTAATAAATTGAACAGATAGCATCCACCATATTGGTGATTGTGCTTTCTTTACCATGGAGGTTAACCTCCTGCAAGGGTTAGCTGTGATCTGAAGGCTGCATTCCTGTGGCTTAGCAGATGGAAAAAAAACAGCTAATGCGTTACCACAACAGAGAAGTTTATGGAGGACTGTCTGCTGTGAGAGAGGAACCATGCTGGAGCAGGTGAAGAGTGTGAGGAGCCCTCCCCTTGAGGAGGAAGGAGCAGCAGAAACAATGTGTAATGAACTGACTGTACCCCCCCCCATTTCCCACTCCCCTGCACCGCTGTTGGGAAGGAGATAGAGAAATCATGAGCAAGGCTGACCCAGGGAAGAAGGGAGGGGTGGGAGGAAGGTGTTTTTAAGATTTGTTTATACTTCTCATGGTCCTACTCTGTTAAGTGTTGGTTTTAGTATTTGAATTAAATGGTTGTTCTTTTCCTTCCCCTAGTCCATAATGTAGTAAATGAACTCACTACACATTTTGGAGGGATGGCACATATCCTAAGGGAATCATATCTGTGTGTACATATCAAAAACCAGGGAAAGCAATGGTGATTAATTAGAATGTATTGGAAAATACAGAACCGGAGTGTAACATAAACGGTATGGATTAAGGGGTGGATACTGTCCTGGTTTTGGCTGGGATAGAGTTAATTTTTCTTCTTAGTAGCTAGAGTAGTACTGTGTTTTGGATTCAGTGTAAATCAGAAGAATGTTGATGATACACTGATATTTTCAGTTGTTGCTAAGAGATCAAGGACTCTCCAACTCCCCATATCCTGTCCCTGGTACAGGTGTACAAGAAGCTGGGAGGGAGCACAGCCAGAACATTGGACCCAAACTGGCCAATGAAATATTCCATATCATGTAATGTCATGATCAGTATAGAAACGGGGTGTGGCCAGAAAGGAGGAGGGAGTTCTCTCTCACTTCCAGGATTAAGATTACAAAATCTTGGTATTTCAGGATTGCTATCCAGGAATGGGCTGGGTATCAGTCAGTGGGTGGTGAGCAATCACATTGTGCATTACCTGTTGCACTTTCTATTATTTTTTAATTATATTTTGATTATTAAACTGTTTTTGTCTCAATGTGCAAGCCTCCTTACCTTTATGCCTCCAATTATCTCCCCCATCCTCCAGGAGGGAGAGGGTGAGTGAATGGCTGTGTGGTGTTTGGCTGCCAGCCGGGTTTAAATGACAACAGGGTCCAAACTAAACAGTACTCAGTCATAATGGTTTAAACACAAGACTTTCTGAATATGAAAAAAATTTCAGGATCTATAGCAAGCTGATCAGATGATGATTATTTGACACTGTTCAGCAGAGTCTTTAAAAGATACAAGGTAGAAGAGCTATAGCAGACTTTCAAGAAACCTTTCAGATTTTCCCCCATTTTGCATGAAACTTGTCCTAATTATCATGATTATCATAAAGTAAATAAGAAAATAGAAAAAAGGGAAAAGAAGGAAAAGAAGACCAAAAAAGGGAGAAGAAAGAGGGGAAGGAAAAAGAAAAAAATGTGTGTAGTTTCTGTATGTGGAAACTACATATTCTCACATCGTGGCATATAAAATGTTTTTGTATGTGTTTTGTGAGGGGACAAAGAACAATTTGTTTGAACCTTGAAATGTGGGAACTGCTACAGAGATGAAGTTTGGTACAAAACAAGCATCCATATGCTCTAGTTTCCCTAATAAGTTATTGTATTCCTCAAGCGTTAGTAACAGAGATGCTCCTTATTGAAAAAAATAGTTGTGGCTTTTCCATTTGGATTTCATACTGAAGAAAACAGAATTTAAACTGAGAGGCTTGTTTATAACAAATCTGTACTTCAAATAAGATATTTCTTTTCACAATAAGCAGCCAAAGGTCATACTGAATTCTACCATGGGAAAGCAAATCCATCACTGAAACAAGCATTGTTAGCACACTTTAGACAGATTAAATGCTTCTAGAAATATTCAAGTTCATAAATAGAAGGTACAAATAAAAGGCAGGATACTGTCCTTTCTCAGTAAGAATTTTAATTCATTAGAATTACCAAGCTTAAAAGAAGAATTATTAATTCACACATAATGCATTGGAAGTTATCCAGTTCATTAAAAGATTTTTTCCTTTCAATTGTTTCCATAGTTTTTCCTACACAAAAAGTATAAACCAAAAGTTTTCTCAAGAGTGCTTTCATTAGGATTCAGCTGCCAAGGGAGCTCCATTCCCATTGTCCTAAATTTAAAATAGTGGATATAGATATGTTCTCTTACGAGTGTGTCTTGAGTTATCCAGTTTAAAGATGAAATCAAGCTCTATCAACGGTGTTGTATTGGTTCTGTAGAGCAGAATAGGGAGATATCACTGAAAATTACCATTTTGCCTATGTTCTGCCTTCTTGCCAAGGCCTGTGATACAGAAATATGGAGAAAGCATAAACCAAATGGTTTCTCAAGGGTTCTTTTTCTAGGATTAAGCTGTCAAGGGAACTCCATTCCTATTGTCCTATAACTACATTTTATAAAGGAGACTCGTAAGTGTATAAGGGAAAAAAACGGAAGGGAATTGCCTCAAATAAATCTTCCTGCCACATTCCTTCAGCTCACAGATCATGCTGTGAGATATGCATTTATGGTCAAGTTTTTCACCTGATCATCAGACACTCAAGCCTGTAATTAGTGACAAGGTGACAGGGGTAGAGTAACTGCCCTGTGCAATAGGAGAGATTGGTTAAATAATTATTTAAGATGCCCCCAAGTCCCAGGGTTTAACTTCCCAACAGGTGGTAGCACAGGGCTCTCAAAGTAGCAGCTTTGAAAGGAAGTCATTTTTCAAAGAACAGCACCAACCACTGCCATGAACTGCCCAAGATTCATCCTCTGAGCAAGAGCACTGCTTATCAAGTGCTGTGTAAAAAACGCAGGAGTGCATATGAGGAGGTCTTTGGACAGGGAAAATGGAAGAGGAAAGTCCAAGTTAAGATATTAAAACAGCTATGTAGTTGAAAACAAAATGGAAATCAGTGAAATACACAGGCACCTGTGGGCCATAGCAGCTCTAGGCCAGCACTGTAAACATGTCAGTTATTCCTGTTGTTCCAGTAAGGAACCTCAGTTTTGTGTCTGTTTCTCTGACCTACCTTAAATCACTGTCCATAGGAAGAATTTTTCTTTGCTCTGTGGTTGGTGTCACTGGAGAAGTCCTTGAGTGGTACTTGTGTGAAAGGCCGCTCTGTGCTGAAGGTGCAGACTAGAGAAAAGCTATCCCAGTCCCTCTGAGGTTACAGGCTCTTTTCTTTAGCTTCATCAAATCACGATTTACTTTGAAGTTTGAATTGCTACTGTGAAGTCTGAGTAGCTAATCCCTGCTAATCCAGATGCAGGACCTTGCTCCTGGCCTTTTTGATCTAGATGAGGTTCACATGGGCCCATTCCTCAAGCTTGTCCAGGACCCTCTGGATGGCATCCTTTCCCTCAAGTGTATCAACTGCACCACTCAGCCTGGTGTCATCTGCAAACTTGCTGAGGATGCACTCGATCTCACCGTCTATACCATTGATGAAGATTTTAAGTCTTTCCAGGTTCACTCACCACTCACCACCTTGAAATTATTTCAGGCAGGGGGATGTGTCTAATAACCATGGATCCTGAAACCTCGCCAGGTTATTTGAGGGAATTAAAACACCTGAGCTTTTAAAACTGGTTTAGACATTGGAACAATTTTAGCAGTTGAGAAGTAGAGATACATGGCTATGTATTGGTTTAAGCCCTGCCAGGACCGGAGAGCACGTTGCCGTTGCCCCTCCTCCACCTGCAGCTGGTCGGGCTGGAAGTGAAGCACAAACCTGGGTAAAAATAAGAAAAAATTTAATACAACAGTGTGATAAACAATCTGAGCAACAACAGTGGCAATGATAACAACAATGAACAGCAATAACAGTGAACAAGACAAACAATATACAGAGAAATACAGCAAATGGTCACGGAGCAGCTCCCTGCCACAAAAAAGCCAAAGAGAAAGAAAAATCAGTTTCCCACCCCTGGACCTGACGCCAGCATGGTATGAATAACCCGGCTGGAGATCCCTTCCCCCTCCCTCTCTGCTAGGGAAACCTAACCCTATCCTAGCTGAACCAGGACAGGCTAGAATGTGCATCTAAATCAGGCACATATGCATGACATAAATTTACATAATTTTGGGTAGTGGAGTGGAGCAATATAATTTATACATGGGATTGTGTCGCATACCATTAAAAAAAAACCCAAAACAAAAAAGCCCCACCTGAGTCCTTACAAACAGGTATACATGATTGTTACAATACATGTAAACTTTTTAATGAATGGCATTGTGGGCCTCAGTCTTTGAATTTATGCTGACTGATGTGTAACCTCTGTAGAAATTCTAGTCCCTCTCATATGGGGAACGTTAATCTCTTGCTAATAATGGAAGGCTTAAGTTCTAAGTGTGTATTAGGTGGCAGCATGTTTCTAAAGAGGAAAGAAAAGTCACTATGAGACAATGGAAAATGCATTATATGGATGATGAGAGCACGACATATCTTTAACGGTATGAGAGGTAAGATGTTGAATCAGTTTATTTGGGTTCTGGAACTTACAGCTACATGTGCAGACAGACAGGTGTGTAGCAGTACCTGCTCTGACGATATCCATGTGAAGAATATTATGGTCAATTATAATTTTTATGACAAATAAAATGTACTCTAACAAAATTATGATTTAAGGTTAGGGTTTTATAATCTTGCTTTGAGATAAAGTCTATTATGATATTGCACAAGTGTAGTGTTTTAGGTCCTGCCGGGACCAGAGACCATGTTGCCGTTGTCCGTCCCCCACCCTCAGCCGGTTAGGGTTGGAAGTGAGGCACAAACCCTGGGTTAAAATAAGGAAAGATTTCATACAAGAGTGTAATAAATAACAATCTGAACAACAACAATAGCAATAACAACAGCAATAAACAGTAATAACAGTAAACAAGACAGAAGTTATACAGAGAAATCCCACAGTGAACACAGTGAACACAGCCAGCCCATCACGCGTGCTCCCCATGACCAAAGCCACAAAGGAAAGCTTCCCGCACTGCCGCTGGACCTGACCTCAGCATGGTATGAATAACCCGGCTGGAGATCCCTTCTCCCAACACGGGAAACTTAACCCTATCCTAGCTGAACCAGGACAGCAACCAATACAGAACACTGGATTACATGAAACCCTTTGTTCTCTTGCGTTTTTTGGGGTTTGTTGTTGCTGGTTTTGTTGCTTTTAGTATGAATCCAAAAATAGTCCTTATGTTGAGTGACTTGAGTGTAATATTCAAGCAATAAAATCTGATTGTGAGGCATTGATTTTCTTCTTAATTTCACCCAGGGGTAATTAATCACATTCCAATTAAAATTGATTTCTTTCACTGAACGAAACACTGGAATTCAAAAATATCTTTACATTGTGATTTTCAACCCAAAGGATTGTAAAACACTTTATACCTGTTGTATTAGAGAAAAAGCTGTGATTTTTGAAGTTGAAGGCAGCAATTCTAGTCAAAACAACCACATAACAGTTTAGAATTTGAAAACAGTTAAAATTTAGGCCAGAATTCAATTATGTGAATTAAAGATTTAAAAGCATGCAACAAAACAACAAACTAAAACAAACTCCTTATTTTTTTAATAAAAAATTAATCTTGAAATTTTTTTTGCTATTTTGAAAGCTTTTTTTTTTTTTTTTTTTCCCCCTGCAGTTGTCTCTTGTAGGTGGAAAATTCCTACTGTTATTTGTGTTAAAAAAAAATAACCCAAGGGAAGCACAATTTTGAAATTAGGGTTTAACTGAAAAAATGTAACAAAATAAATGTACTTAATATTCCACATATTTAGTCTATTATTAACTGCTAAATTGTATGTATCTAACAGGAAACTTTAGAAGCATTTCAGACAGCATAAGGTTATTTTACTGATTCGTTCAAATGTAATATGGCTTTGGTTTTATCAATAACCTGGTTATTGGAGACTGATCAAACACTTACAGTGCTCTGCACACCAGACTTCATGTTGAAAAGAAACTTTACCTAAAGGAAGAGAAAGGCTCTTTGCTTGTTGAGTGACTGTGCTTTTCCGAAAATGTACGCAAGGGATCTGCTATTCCTGACATAAATGTCACTGTGGAATTTTCCAGTTGGGTAAAACCTGACCCAGAAAAACTCTGTGGGATTTAGGGTGGTGAGGATTTCAGCATAATGATGTGACGT